AGAGAGAGAGAGAGAGAGAGAGAGAGAGAGAGAGAGAGAGAGAGAGAGAGAGAGAGAGAGAGAGAGAGAGAGAGAGAGAGAGGCGTCGCTATACTGGTGGGTGTGGAATACGGAAGTAAAGCACGAAAGATTGTGTCTTTCCTCTTTCTTTTTGGAGTGGATTGGTGGGCCTCGTCGAGCCGACTGTAACTGGCCCGTTGTCGAAAGGGACTACTTCTTTCCTGAAATGGAAAGTTATTTGGCAAAATGGTGCCACGCGATGATCATGGATGACCGTCTGTCTGCCTAGTAGCCATAAAGTGAAGCGCAGCCTGCCCTCTCAGCCTCCTCTTCTCCTCTGCCGCTGATCTTTTTTTTTTTTTTTTTTTTTTTCCTCTTTTGTTTTGTTTTTTTTCATTTGTTTTTTTTTTCTTCTGGGGTAAGGATGGGTGGGGCTCCCCTTGTTAATGAGCTTGGCGTTTCTTTTGCCCTCACGCTGTTTCACTGCTGTTTCAGATAACGACATGCTGAGATCGATCTGCTGCACTGGCATTTAGTGCGGAATTCTTTGGCCTCGTCTGCAGCTGCCACGTGGCAAGCTGGTCGGTTGGTTGATGTTATCTAAAAGGATAAAACGGCGAAGTAACAGCTAGGACAGGAAAGGGGGGAACATGTTGGGGATGGGAGCAGCCGGGTGTGTGGCAGGTGGGGGCGGCGTGACGTTGTCGCACGTGTCGATCGATGGCGCTGGCGTTGCGCGCAGCCTACCGGTCGCCGCTCAGGGGGCGTCAGACACGTCCAGTGGCGCGTCGCTCGGTCCTTCTTCCTCATCATCATCACATTGCGGCGGGAGTTTGGTGCAGAGGACGAGCCGATCGGGATCCCAATCGACTTATCGGTTGGCAGTCGGGGCAAGAAGGGCCATGTCGGCGCACAAACAGCCTGCTCCTTCCCCGTCGGCGCCGCCAGCGCCGACGTCGGGGTCTCAGACGAACACGTGTGGGCTGCGCATACGTCGTCATCGTATTGCAACAGGAGTCGGAGTCTGTGCGATGCAGCGAGTCGCTGGCGGCGGCGGCGCCGCCGCACAATGCCGTGCGATGAGATCGGACGGCGCCTGCTCTTCAGCCGCCGACCAGTCGCAATCGCAATCGCAATCGTCGCCCCAGAACGACGGTCTGGCGGCGGCGGGAAAGGACGCAGAAACAAATGAGCCCGCGCAATCACTGCCGCGTCATCACGTGACTCGCAGAATGATCGCCGGCTTCGCTGGCGGCGTCATGGTGCCTAGCCTGCTTACACTTGTCCTCAGATCTCGTCTGGATTTCGCACAAGCCGACAGCTCCGCTGCCGCCCACCATCCTTCCGAGGTGCTCCAGCTGGCATCCTTTGAGAGGAGCAGAGTGAAACGATCTCGAGAAGCTCTCCTTATCCCTGATGACCTCAGTACGGACTTGAGTACACAACCAGGAACACCGGCAGGAGCAGCAGCTCAAGGAGGAGGAGAAGGAGGAGGAAGAGGAGGAGGAGCTGAGACAGAAAAGACTGCGTCTTCTGGTCCTGTTGCTGTAAAAGAGCAACCGAGCAACGATGCCTCTTTGCAGTCCGTGGGGTCACAACGCAAGGTTGACGACAACAAAAATATAGCAAAAGAACCAGCAGCAGCAGCAGCAGCAGCAGCAGCAGCGGGAGGAGGAGGCGGAGGAGGAAGAGAAGAAGGTGGGGAGGCTGTTTCCTCGCTCAGGCTGGCGGAGATTGGGGGGCCGACAGTTGTTAGTGACGGCCAGCAGGGGTCCTCTCCCGGCGGCGCTTCTGGTCTTTTGACCGGTGTGGGTCTCGTCGCTGCAGCGGGTTTTGGAGCAGGATGGATCGCCGAACGTTCAGCGAAGGCGAACTTGCAGGAGGAGCTTCAAGCGGCCAAGGCGTTGAACGAGAAGCAGCTGCGCACTCAAGAACGAGCGCTCACCGAAGTCTCTGAGAAAGCAGCCTCGCAGGTATCCTCCCTTCAGACCTCGCTGCAACGGTCCGAAGATGGCAAGAAACTTCTGACAGCAGAGGTGTCAGTTCTGCAGGCTAAGTTGTCAGACACGGAGGCTGAGGTAGTCAAGGCCAAGGCGGCCACAGCTGCCTCAGAGACAGCTCGCGAAGACCTGCAGGTCAAAATGAACCAATCGCTGCGAGAGAAGGAGGAGGAGATAAAAGGGCTGGTTGTCGACTGCGGGTCGCTCCGGTCAGCTCTGACAGCTGCAGAGACTGCAGGTCAGAATCTGCAGAAGGAGTTGGAAGACTTGCGAGCTTCTTGGCAGTCCCTGCAGTCCTCTCTGGCTTCTGCGGAGGAGGGTGGTCGGCATGTTGAGACCGAGCTGGCAGAGGCACGGGCAGTGCTGTTGGCCAAGGAAAGGGAGGTGGAGGAGTTGCAGGGAAGTCTGGAGGAGGCAGTCAAGGAAGCCAGAGAGACGGACAAACACGTGGCCGACTTGAAGGGCAGGTTGAACGAGCTCGGTGAAACACTGGCAGCGGAGCAGGCTACCGCGCAGAAGCTAGTTCAGGAAGTGGGGAAGGAGAGAGCAGAGGTGGAGTTGAGGGAGAAGGAGGTGACCGTACTGAAGACTGCCCTCAAGGACTCCACTGAGAAGATCAACAATCTGGAAGTGCAGGTAAGAAACATAGCCGGCGTCCTGCAAGCGAATGCGGCGGACTGGGAAGAATCCAAGGCCCAGGTGCAGGCCATGGAGCAGCAGCTTGAGGAGGAGAGGCAGGCAGGCGAAGCACTTAGAGAGGATCTCCTCAAGGAGACGGAGGCGAAAGCTAGCCTGGCTGCCCAGCTAGAAGAGGCCAAAGCGGAGGCCGCCGCTCAGAGACAGACGAAGGACGAGCTCGCTGCGGAGATTGATCGCCAGGGAGAGGATATCGAACGGCTGAGAGCTGCAGTGGACAGCTGGACAAGTCAGCTCGAGGCCGTGGAGCAGAAGCTGAGGCAGGAGAAAGCTGCGGTCAACCAGGCTAAAGCAGAGATGGAAGCCATGAGAGATGCCCTGCACACGGAGCAGAGCAAGCTGGCGGAAATGAAGGACAGCTTACAAAGCACCTCTGGAGAGGTCGCAGCTATGGAGGCAGAGAGGAGGGAGCTGCTTGCCAGGGCGGAGAAAGCGGAGACCATCACTGCGTCCCTGTCAAAGGAGATCTCCGACCTCAGAGCAGCTCTGGCCAAAGCCGAAGCTGAGGCGGAAGAACTGTCGAAGCTGAAGAAAGACATTGAAGTTATGGCCAGAGAAAGGGATGGACATGAAGAGCGGGCGGCTCTCCTCGAGGATGACGTGAATGAGGCGAAGTTGGAAGTCTCTAGACTTTCTGGTGTCATCACGGAGACCAAACGTCTGCTTCTGGTGGCCCAAGAGAAGATCAGCCAGATCGCAGAGATCAGAGCGGAGGCTGCACTGATGGTGGAGCATTTTGAAGATGTGGCCGGAAGAGAGAGAGAGGAGAAAGAACAGTTGCAGGAGAAAGCAGAGAGCTTGGCCAAGCAAAGGGAAGTCGAGCAGGAGGCGAACAGAAAGCTGTCAAAGGAGCTCGACACCGTAAGAGAGGAGTTGGCACACGTGCAGATGTGCCTTAACGAGGCGCAAGCGGAACGAGCTGCAGCAAAGGCGATGGTAGACTCCCTGATGGCCACTTCTGCCCCGGAAGCTGACGATGAAGAAGCCAACAACAACGGCGGCACAGAGGTAGAGACTATCGCAGCAAGTACAAAGACGGGAGCAGCAGCAACAACAACAAGGAAAGCAGCATCAGCAAGGAAAAGCAGTGGCACCAGGAGAACGAAACGGAACACAGGCCCTGGGGTTGCTAGCTAGAAAAGTACTCTGCTCCCCACCCCTTGTTTGTCAAACTGCTACTTACAGGAGATGTTGCAGGAGAGGACCAGGAGGATTAGAAAGAAGAAGAAGAAGAAGAAGAAGAAGAAGAAGAAGAAGAAGAAGAAGAAGAAGACGGAGAAGACTAAGAAAGGAGGAGGAGGAGGAGGAGGAAAGGGAGGAGGAGAATGAGCACATTACCCTTCCTCCTGTGTCCCTTTTTCCTTTCTCCTCCACTTCCTTGGGATGGAGGAGATCTGACAGGTTTGAAATTTCTTGCAACTGACGAAGGGACCGTGCTAGAATAGAGTTGCAGCAGCCTGATGTCCCCTTAGCAGCAAACAGGCAGTCTGTAACCTAGAATGAGGAGAGCCGCAACGGTCGGGACTCCAATTGGTCCAAAACACTTGGTCCAGGAAGCAGGCGGTTAGACAATTATTTCTGTTAACAATTCGTTGTCCAGTTTTTTAATACCTTGGTCCAAAAGCCAGACAGAAACTGTTTGACAACTCCAACTTGAAGCTGAACATTGCTTCTTCAGAAGGCTTAGCTTCTTTTGTTTTTTCCCCTCCCGCCCAAATAGGGCGAACGAAGAGGTAACCAACTCCCTTTCCTCTACTCTCATCATTCTCTCTTCATAGGTTGCGATACTCGCCACGTGGAGGGTTCCGATTCCCGTGGCTAGTACCAGAACTAGGCTTCCCATTGTTGTGCCACTTCCTGGTACTACGGACGGTACTACCTAGCCACAGGGAGAGTTTCAATCCACAGCAGCAGCTGGGTTTCCCATTGTTTTGCCAAACTAGGAAAGTGCTCCTAAGGATTTTTCTTGCATGCCATGGTGGCAATCCCATATAGACTTCCACAGTGACCGTTACTCGGGAATTAAGCCCAATGGCATGCTATCTACTATTATTTAAATTGCTTTCAAATTTGTCAGTGTGCATCCATTTGTCTTTTTTTCATTTTTTTCACTCTTTTGTACAAGTTGTGATGATCGATTCAAGATCTAGCACAGCTCACTGATGTTTTTCGTAACATCGCTGAAGTTCGTTTGTCGGCTTACCTACAGACTCAAAGAAACCGAGAAAAAAAGTCACCTCCAACTTTTTTTTAAGTGTTTGGCACTGTGGGTAGAGGAAAAGTTTGAAAACCCTCCTGCTCTTAAGCTTTTGTCCCCCTGTGCGCTGTGACTGTGCTGTGATTTCTTCTGTGTGTGTGTGGAGGGGGGAGGGGAGAGGGGTGGTGGTGGGGGATGAGTACTGAGGAGTGGAGGAATCCATTTTCTACTTTACGTTTTCACTTAGTGGATGGGAGCTTCAGTAACCATGGGCTGTTCGTCATTGCTGTCATTGGCGTTGTGTGTCTGTCGCCAACATAGTGCGGGATGAGGACTGAGGAGTGGAGGAATCCATTTTCTACTTTACGTTTTCACTTTAGTTAGTGGATGGGAGTTTCCGTAACCATGGGCTGTTCGTAGTTGCTGTGTCATTGGCGTTGTGTGTCTGTCTCCAACATCGTCCGCGTCCTTTTCATTTAGCTTGTGCCAATGTGCTCCCTTTCTTTCTTTCAGAAAGGTGGGAATTGCTTGACATTCGAACTCTCGACCTGATAATGGACAGTTGAAAGTTGAAACCCTCCTTAAGTTTTCATTTAGCTTGTGCTTCCTTTCTTTCCGAAGGAGACTCAGTCTGGTGTTATGATTCTGGTTGTTTGTTGTCTGATGACCAACAGGCACTCACATAGACGTCTAGGCATGCCCATACATACACAGAAGGAAGGGGAGAGGATAGGAGTATCACACCGCACAGGGAGAGATAACACAGCGGAAGACTTAACCATGCGRTATGACAGGRTACACTGAAAGTGCAATTCACTCCACTCAATCCTCACAACCAGTCATAAAGAAAAGCCGAGCAGATCACATCCAAGAAACAATGAAACGATGATAGTCCAAACCCAGTTATACACTGTTTATTAAACTCAGAGTCTCGAATTGTCAGGATAACTTCAGTACTACAGTGCGCTGCTCAGAAGTGAGCAGCGCTTCACTCCCCAACCCTGATTAGCACCCGTGACACCCCTGAGCCCCTGAAACATCAAGCGCCACCCAAATACAGCCTCCTGAGGGAAGCGCCACCCTGAAACAGGCCTCTGAGGCCAAGCGCACCTCAGAGGATGAAGAAGAAGACCAGCGCCACAGTATCTGATGATGACAAAGTGTCGGAAGACTTCCCGGGTGGAAGTCTGCATCAGCGCCACCAAACCCTGACAAGATGACCTCTGAGGACGAAGCTGCAGCTATGGCTGCAGTGCCACCACCCTGGAACCCCACTCCGGAGGAGGGTCCAGCAGGGCACCAACTTCTCTCGCCTCCAGCAGACCTCGATAGCCCAGACCTCTGACAGCCCCTGCGTGCTGGCAGAGTACAGCGCAGGTCCCAGCTATGGCCGGCACTCCGAAGGTCTGGCTATGCCTGTCTCCTTCCACGCTGAGCCGTCACCACTTCCGGTTCACGCGTAGTGCAGCAGTGATGTACTCGGTACCAACTGCCAAAAGCCCTGAACCGATGTGCCCATTCTATCTATAGACTAACCTAGCCTAGACTCGACCCAGACCGGACTGACTGACCGACTGGTACCGTTTCTGTTTCGGCCTCTCGGCCTCTACCGGACCTGGCTATGGGCTATAGGACCGTCTATCAGAATAGGCCCTTAGGGCCTGTCTGTCCTAGGGGTAGCCCGGGCCTGCTATTCGCAGTTAGGGTAGCGGTAGGGAATTCTGTTAGTACCGGGCCTGCATTTTTCCCGAATTTGCAGATATGTCCCTCACGAATTTCCCTCACAGGTAGGTCTCTCGGTTAGCCCTCACCCAAACAAAATTATAAATCTATCCTACCTATAGTACAGCCTCGACAGAGAGAGGCTACAGGCAACCAGAAAACAGCAAGTCATTGCACTGGCATTCCACCATTAAGTGCCAAGTGTCGCGCTGCCATAGCGCCTGCTGCTGGTTAGATGCTGATGAGAGAGATGCTGTGCAGATACTTCTTTCCTGTTGCCAGGCTTGTGCAGCTTCTATTATGATCTTCATTGTATTCCTGGGCCTCCTGATGCTGAACTGCTCAGCCTGTTTCCAGATTGCTGCTGCTGCTGCTGCTGCTGCTGCTTCTGCTTCTGCTTCTGCTTCTGCTGTTCTGTTAAGTCTGGTAATCTGCAGCAGGTACTATTTTCCAGTTGCTTCTTTTACAACTGCTGAAGCTGCAGCTTTCCTGGTGATGCGGATGCTAAGTTTATTCTCTGCTACGGCTGCCACTCCTGTTCCAACAGTGCTGCTGCCTCTGTTCTATTACATCTGCCATGCTGCAGCGACCGCTATTTTCCAGCTGCTTCGTTAATAACTGCTCGAGCTGTAGCTTTCCTGATGATGGAGATGCTAAACATATTTATCTGATATTTCTGCTTTCTTCTGCTTTCTTCTTCGTTCTTCTTCCCCTGCTCCTTCTTCCTCCTCCTCCCCCTTCCTGCTGCTTATCCTTCACGGCCCTGCTTCCTGGCGCCTACTTCCTTCTACTTCTTCCTCCTCCTTCCTCCTACTCCACCTCTGTCCTCCTTCTACATGAAGTGAAGGAAGTGTGCTTCTTCTTCTTCTTCTTCTTCTTCTTCTTCTTCTTCTTCTGCTTCTTCTTCTTCTTCTTCTTCTTCTTCTTCTTCTTCTTCTTCTTCTTCTTCTTCTTCTGCTGCTGCTGCTGCTGCTGCTGCTGCTGTTCTTTTCTCATCCTTTCGACTTAAAGTTTACCATGTTTTGTCATTTCCTTCCTCCAAGTCCTTGTTTTTCGGGGTCCTATTTCTTTTTGGAATTTTTTATTTCAGGACTGGAGGCGCATTGGAGTCTCATTAACAAATCACAGGCTCAGAAGGCTCACAAAGAGTCACAATCAAGCCTGGAGGTACTGTGCAATGCACACATTCCTGGGGCAAGGTTTCACGAACTCTTTTTTTTTCCAATGCAGTTCCACTAAAGACTTTTTGTTTCTCCTTTTTTTTTGCCGGGTCAGGGAGGGAAGAAGGGCTGGGGAGGTGTGGAGGGAGAAGGCAGGGGAAGAATTCCACCTAAAGATGTCTCATTGGAGTCTCATTAACAAATCACAGGCTCAGACGGCTCACAAAGAGTCACAATCAACCCTCGAGGTACTGTGCAATGCACACATTCCAGGGGACAAACTCTTTTTTTTCCAATACAGTTCCACTAAAGACTTTTTGTTTCTCCTTTTTTTTTGCTGGGTCAGGGAGGGAAGAAGGGCTGGCGGGGGAGGTGTGGAGGGAGAAGGCAGGGAAAGAATTCCACCTAAAGATGTCTCCCCTTAATACCCCCTTATAACTGAAGCAGACTCCCTTTTCACTTCTTTCCCCTTGGCGCCCTTCGATTGCCTTCAAATCCATCCTAGAAAACTTCTCCCAAGTTCTCCATGATCCCCTTACATCAGCCCCGGGCCTGCCGTTTCTTAGACTCTCTATACTCGTTATGAACCAAAAGAAGAAAGAAACAAAAAAAGGCCAATAGTTTTATCATCCTGGATTAAAAAAAAAAAAAAAATCAAAGAAAAGACAATCATATTATGCCGCTCAATTGCAACTGAGATGAAAGAGATTGGAAAGAGAAATTATAAACAAAGGAGGAAGAAGAATGGAGAATGGAGAATGGAAGAAGAAGAAGAAGAAGATGAAGTTGAATGAATGCATGAATGAACCAATGTCATTCCACCTTCAACTCGCCACCATCTCCGACCTCCAGCATCTCTCCCAATAACTCCTTAATGATACTAATAACAACAACAACAACAATGAATGAATGAATGAACCAGAATCAGTGTCTGAATCCTTCCCTTACTGCCAGCCACTCAAGAAGTCCACCATAGCCATCCTACACCTCCTTCCACTACTTGGTCAAGCCAGTGGCTATGGTGGACAATTGGGAGATGGGCTCCAATGTTCAAAGGACAACACAAGGCTACTACGCCTCTCCCACTATGGCTGCCATGCCACACTCCATCCCCGAGTCTTTCTTCCAAGTATCATCCCACTAGAGGCCTTCCAGGTGCAGCATCCACCAAGAAGATGAAGATGCAGACCACCATAGCCAAGGTAAGCTCCTTCTTCACTCTACTCCTCCTTCTTCCTCTTCTTCTTCTTCCGTCCTTCTTCCTCGTCCTTAGGCCTCTGCCATGTCTAGATCTTCTCCCACCTTCGCCTTGGCCACCTCCACCATAGCCGAGGTGGGGGCCAAGCTCCGCCTCCTTCCTCCACCCAGCTCTGCCTCAGCTGGGCGGTTGCTCCAGCAGCGTGCCTCCAAGCTGCATGCCAACAAATGAGGCTGAACTCTTTGCCTCTTCCCTTGATATGCCGACCTAGTGCCTCTTCACGTGGCGGCTTCCAGGCCACGCGGGCTGCAAGACTACCGGTAGGCTGTAGCCACCACTTTTGGCGGGAACATCATTGCAGTCTGATATCCCTCTTCCCCCAGGCTCTAGACTTAGACCTACCGGACTGGTACCTATCCCTTTTTTTTTTTTTTGACCATTTCTCGATTTATGCGTGTCATCCTTGCTCAGGGGCCATGCTAATCTTCTCTGTATCGTTCCAATTTTAATGGATGTCCCGAAGGACACTGGTACTATCCCTAAGCCTACTGGACTTCTAAAAAGCTACCCGGCCTCCCCAAAGGTCCTTCCCTTTTGTCCTCTCCTCTCTGCTACTCTACCCGCTTCTTCATGATTTTGGCCTCCGCGGCCACCTGTATCCCCTTCTGGATTTCTAGTACGTACAATGCTTGGCAATCTTTTGTTGAAATGATTTATGAATTCGTTCCAAACTTAGTCAATAAACAAATAAGTGGTGTACCAGCAGTTAAACAATGATTTTTTCTTTTCATCTTTGTCACTTTTACCCTGTTAAAATACACAAAAATTCTATTCATTTAACCATTAAAATGAATTTGTTACGCTTATTCCCAGAAATACAAAATCA